ACTCATGTACGAGAAACAAGTTTATATGGCACGATATAAGGAAGTATGGAGTAATATATGGCACGATTTAAGTAATATATGCTCAGAGATCCAAAATGGTGATGGGCACAACTCTGTTTCAATGAACAACAACTAATCAAACTTATAACTCAATTTGATCGCTAAAGACACAAAATCACTCTAATTAAATCAAAATATGAAAGATCATCTTAATAACACAAAGTAACTTCTTCCGATTCCAACAAAACTAATCAAATCACAACTTGACAAAACTCATTGTTTAAAAGATGAGAAACTGAACCTTCCAAATCCATAGCTTCGTTTCTAACACGAAACTAGAAATTTTTAGAACGTAATCGCTTAAGGTAATCATTTCCGGGTTTAAAGTCAGTCTCTTTCTCAACCATCTCTCCGATATTACAATCATCATCATCTCCGAAAGAAGACGCAAAGCCAATCAACGAAATTGATCCATTCCGCACAAAGTTCACGTCTTTACCTTACATTTCATTGTTATAGTTTTCATTGATCCATGACTTGTTGGTTTCTTCACATGCGAGATTCTTCTCTGCCATTGGTTGTTTCTTTTACTCGAAAGTGAAAACTGTTAATTAACCAACCCTCTCTCTAGAATCCCCAATTCATTGAGCTCTGATTCGGTTTCATTTCATTCTCTGTTACCGACAAAATCTCGGCTCCAAGATTCAACCAAACTATCATCTGAATCAACCATCTAATCCACCCAATTCCTGCTCATATAACCATTAACCCCAATCTCCTCTTGACCTTCCCGTAACTCCATAAAGGACTATGCTTGTCTCTTCTAAGCCGCAAATTTCTCTTCATTAGACATCTCATCATCTTTCGCAAGCTCACATGTCTCATCAACAATGTCGATGTCCCTCAAACGAAGCTCCCTTCTTATTACCCGTATGACTGTTCTTCTTCTCCGGAAACCAAAATTTCTTTCTTCTCTCACCCAACAACGAAATCGAGTAACATGGCTTAAGAGATGATGACGATGATTCATGAACTGGATTTTGGTTAGTGAATGATAAGCAGTGGCATAAGACCATTGACAAGCCCATCAAGGACATTAATCATTGTTTGCACTGTAATTTAAGGCAACAAACATTTTCTTCAACGAAACCCAGACAAACGGATCCAAAAACGAGAAATTCAACAGCTTTAACAAGCCCTAAACATGAAATTCGCGAAGAAGAATAATATAAATCTTATGGTTTTTCCCACAAAAATTACCAAGAGAAGAGAAGAAGAAACCGATTTACCAAGAAGAAGAGGAGGAGGAG